CATCTCCCGGAAATCCTGTATAATTCAACCAATCAGATGACGACTTCGAAACTCCTGAAGTGTTTCCAGTTAAGTGTGCCATATGCATCAGACATTCAGCCTACAGTCCGTGGCCGTGACGCCTGAGGGTGAGACTCAGTAACCCCCTTAGGGTAAACAGAACAGAACCAACATAAATTTAGCAGATATCATTAATGTTCTTAATAACAATTTAATGTAACAACATAATTCAAGAGAAAGGAGTGTGATTCAACAAGGAATAACAGAAGGCCAAGTCCTGACTGTGGAAGATAGGAGGAGCTGGGGATGGAAAAGGGTAATTAGCTCCTGAGCAATGCAATAAAGCTGCTGAAATAATACTGAACGGACCTTTTTAAAATTCTTTAAAAAATCCAACCCATAAATATAAAAGTAGTTATATATTTACACAATTCATTTTTGATATTGTATATAAAAAGTACACACATATTCTTTGACAAGCATAATTGAAAGGACACACTAATTTCACATCAGAGCGTATGGGTATTTTGCATTAAGAAGTCCTGTAGGGATGACAGTGGGTGTCCCGAGGAAGACATGCATTATCAATCTTAAATACATTATCAAGCTGTACCAATGCCAGATCTCCTTGATATGCCTGACTGATATTTCCCAGTTGGTTTTGAACTGCTGCACGTGGATGTAAACAATGCAAACAAGGAGAGCCCTTCAAAAGCAACACGTTACTCCAAAGAATAAGGCTAGAATTTACATGTCTTACATCAGGTTACACCATGTGAATCCAATGCGTTCAGGCCAAAGGAATGCACACTGATGCAATGGGTCTTCACTGAAACCCCATCTTCATTCATGCTCAGACTCTAAATCTACTGCTCATGTCAGGTACATTCAAAATATACAGAAGCCCTCGATCGCTCTCTCACATGCTCTCAGAAACCATACAAAACTACCTTGAGTAAGTCAACTATCAGTTTTTACAGTACACAATAAAATGAATAATATAACACAGTCAGAAAGGAAGAAGGCAAAATGATGTCACTTAATGAATATAGATCAATAAATAAACATTTAATTACAAATAGTGTCATGAAGTATCATGAAGTAATGGTTTAATAAAATACTGTGACAATATTCATAGTATATCTCTCATAACTTGTTGGTTATGCATTTAAATGCATGCTTGAATATATTCCAGATCAGGAAAGGGCAGTTTTGAAGAAAATGCACAAAACATTCCACTGTCATTAGCATTTGGTATTTCATCACAATGCTCTGCTTTAGTAAATATTAAATAATACTACTGCTTATTCACTACTTGAATAAAATACTAAATAGAATACTAAAGGAAAACTTAACTGATACTGCATTAATATTTTTAATATGGCTCTATGTAATCTGACTGGCTTTTCCAGTTTATGTTTAAAGGCGAGGACATATTGAATAGGGGTTTTGGAACAAAAAAATATCTTACAAAGACAAAAACAGTGTAGAGGCTGGGTAAACAAGAACAAAAAAAAATTACCTGGTAATTTGGATGGAGTAGAAAATGATCTGGACATCCGGCCACAGCCATGATACACGCTTTGTAATGTCTCTCTCGGATATCACATCTACCTCAGATAAATGAGGAAAGAGTCTGAAATCAAAACCAAAACAAAAATGTTACATCAAATGTTTCTTCAAGGTAAAAAAAAAGGCAATCTCTTTCTTAGTTGAGTCTACGTGGCTACTACCAATATAGCACAGAGCACTTCGTAACCCAAATAGTTCCACAGGGTCAGTAAACAACATAAGAATAAGAGCAGGGAAATACAGAATCCGAGCTGACCAACAGCTTTGCAGATATGGTGTATGAAACACTCTCTAGATTGTCTTCTTAAAACTCAAAGCACTTGGAAAGCAACTTTATTTGCAGTGTGAGGAGAGAAGGAAGACAGATCATACGGAGCTCCAAATAGTGAACATTTCCACTGAGACCAAAATTATATATTTTCACTCATATAATGGTACCTTATTTTCAGAGGGTAAGATTATGTAGTCTAGCGAGCTTAAATGTACGTATTTATTTTGCTGCTTCATTTTGAAACAGAAAACTAAGAAGACACAACTGGAGTTCACTGAAAACTTTGTACTTTTAAGGCCTGTCCACACCAAAGATGATAACTATAAAGTTGTAATAGTTGTTAGTTCTATGAGAATAGATCCACACAACATCTATAATGATAAAGACAAAGAGAAACAAAATCATTGGAATCCTTTTCAGGGTTGTTGTTGTTTTTTTCTTTGTTTGTTTGTTTTTCAGCTGTTAAATCTTAAATACATTGCGAAACAATCAAAATCCACATGGCTTTAAAGAACCTAAAGAGACTTGGTCGTGGCATAATGGTAAGAGAGTCGGACTTGTAACCCACAGGTCGTGGGTTCGAGTCTTGGCACTGGCAGGGATTGTAGGTGGGGGGAGAGAATGTACAGTGCTCTCTTCCACACTGAGGTGAGACCCTTGAGCAAGGCACTGAACCCCCAACTGCTCCCTGGGTGCCACAGCAAAAATGGCTGCCCACTGCTCTGTGTGTGTGTTTGTTCACTACTCACTGCTGTGTGTGTGCACTTGGATGGGTTGAATGAAAAGCACAAATTCAGAGTATAGGACACCATACTTGGCTACAAGTCACGTCACTTTCAATTACCATGTACAATATGACTGACAAGCAGAAACAGCTCAAAATCTTCAAGTTGTCCGCTTTCAGAATTTGACTGTGGTCGTGGTCTTTTTTGTTAAATTTCTAGTCACCTTTATTTGTATAGCATTTTATACAATACTGATTGTGTCAAAGCAGCTTTACAGTGTTAAACAGGAAAATAGTTTGTCAATAATGCAAGAGGACAATAACAAAGAGTCATTTTTCAGCTAAAGTCAGTTCATTGT